TGTACCTATGAGTATGATTTGGTATAGATTTATATTGTACAAATATTATTAAATTGATGTTCATTGTATAATTTTTTTGTATTGACTGAAAAATCTATTTATAATACATATTATTTTCATTAAAGTATTTTTATAATATTATAATATTTATATTTATATATAAAATATAAATATTAAAAACATATTAATATTAGAATAATATTATAAACCCTGAAAATAACTGAGCGCAATTGGTCTATCGACCCAAAAAAGACAGAGCGCAATTGGTATATTAAAAGGTCATTTTAAGCGCAATTGGTAAACTACCGTATTTTTGACCTGAAAAAACGTACACTTCGCAGATGATAGAATCCACAGTAAATTGCAAATGAAAAATCAATAATCCTCGATATCAGTCCAATATTAATCTAATATCACTCTAATATTATATTTTAATAAATAAAAGTACTCGACAAGATGTAGGGTTCACTACTATGTCAATGACCAAATAGGTAGGTATAACAAAATATTAATTCTATCTGATTAGCCTATTCTGATTTCGTCAACCAATAAAAGTTTGAGTCCTTAATATTCTAATGTATAAAAATATTTATAACCAATATTATAAAATATTATAATTTTAGTTGAACACAATGTGGTTAAATCTAAAATTAGTATACATTTCTCAATAAATCTATGAGACCTTTTTGAATGACTATTTATATTATTATAATAATCTAAATTTGATGATATTTAAATAATATAATATCGTATTATGACATTATCAGGTATGTTATGACTGGTACTTGCATGATCATATTAATATATTAATACAAATCGATAATATGTTTCTAAAATATGATATGATATGAATAATAAATGATACATGACATCCCCTCGTGATTAAATAATCACGAATATATTATGATAATAATGGACAATGGAAGAGGTCAAAAAAGTAAACCAAAAAATTATATTCATTGGAAATGACTGATTTATTTTGAGGTGTCAATACTGATATGAATTACATATTATTATTGTACTGTTTAGGCTATGGCATTTTTGAACTTTGCAGTGTATGGATTACATAAATTAACAGTTCTGAAACAAAACAAAAATACAATGTAAATCAAAATGACAAAATGTATGTTTTAATGATAAAAGTCATTTAACATGAATTATATCATATGATAGAGTAAATAATAGTATGAGAACATGATATTATAATACTATAATATTGCTACACATGAAGAAGAATTATTCGTATTCAAACATTCCAAACAGCTATTATTATGTTTTAAAGCACAACAAAAAATACTAATAAAGGAATTAATATTTACTTATCTGTATATTATATAATATGTTGTATTTTTAATTAACGTCGCCATCTAATACCTAAATAGGTACCTGTGATAAGTAGTAGCATAATATTATAGTAGAGTATAAATTAGTTTAATTGTGTAATTATACTGCAATAAATCATCCTAATAAAAATAATTATTCATATTCAAACTTCTATTATTAACAAGTTAACAAAACGATTAAATTTTAAATTAATATTGTTCACAATATTGTTGATTTAATATTTTTTGAATAAAATAATGTATGTTCAAAATTTTTAATAATAATTTAGGATCACGTATACCTAATTCATATAAACCCGATTAGTTGTACCATTAAACGTGAATACTTATTGGTCTTATGTTATCGTTATTTACATTTATTGATATTGAAACGAGATTTTCGTATGTAATATGTTTTTAAAACGTAGATTCAATTGTTTTTTTTAACCATAATGCAATAAAAAAAAAATAATAATAATTAATAATCGTGAAAATATTTTTAGTCATTCAATTTATCAGATTAAAACTATAATTAAATTATACATAATATTATGTTTATAGGTTTATAGTTGGTATACATTTATTGTTGTGATTATATTTTCAAACATTATATTATAAATTCTTTCATAATATTTTTGGATTTTAAAATTGAATAAAATCTAAAATCTATCCAAACTCACCATTAGTTGGCTGGTGGCTGGTGTGGCCTTGGCAATGGTTTTGACGGCTTTGGCAGATTGGACTTGTCCAACGACAACGATGTTCATGGATACCTTTTCAGCGCCCATTTTTGATTTGTTTTTTGTTTTTTGAGGAGTAAAGTGAAAACTGCAAGTAGAAAAAAGATTGCAATTTACATTTGAAATTTGTAGAAAATATAATTATTGTCTTTCGTACTTACCAAAGAATATATCTGCACAAAAAAATATGTTATGCCGGAATCGATATCTCGGGAATCTTTATATACACTCCCGCTGACTGATTGAGTGGAAGTGGAGGGGGTGATAGCGTGATCGATAATATTGTAATAGGTATAATTTCGGCGGCGTGGCACGATTATCATAATATTTATATACAATTTTTCATTTATAAATCATGATGTACAGATCAAACCATGAATATTATGCATAGCTTTAAAAATTCACAGAAAGTGTCGAATTAAACATTTTTAATTTCAAATGTAGTTCCGCTATGGTGAATATTTATATAAATTATCATCAGGAGTATTTCTCAAAACAAATAATAAGCAAAATTCGTATATTGTAAACAATGCACGTAGAAAACGAGATTAGTAAAACTTGTAAAATAAATGATTATGAATTGTATACTTTTTTACACGATATATTAATATAAATATACCTTTTATGTTCATTCACATGTTAGTAGAAAATATATTTTCTACTTGTTTGTAAACAATTAGCTATACCTATATGTACCTGCCAGGAATGATTATTATTATTATTATTATTATTATTATTATAATTATCATATAATCTTATAATTTAAATTGTTATAAAAAATAAATTAATAATAAGTAACAAAAAAACTTAAAACTATCTGATTTTAAAAAGTCTAAATTTGTAAGTATTTACTATGAATTAGTGGTTTTCAAAAATTGATTTGAAATGTTCAGTGGAATACTATGAAATATATATAATATAATATTTTATTTAATTGATTATTGATATACAATTAATAATTTACAATTTAATTTGACTTATCTTATTTTACTCGTTATGTTTTGTATAGATAAATTTTGCAATTTTTGCTTAGGCATTAGAAGTGAAGGTGCGTGAAGGTAATTATAATTTTTTAACTATAAAATAATTTTCCAATGTTTGATTTTGATGAATTTAATACCTAATTAAATGCTCATAAAAATAAATGTATATATAAACTACCTTTAATAGTGTTCAACTGCTATAAAAAACTTATGAAGAAACTTGTATTACATTTTCAAGTTTTTTGTCTAAACAAAGAGTTATTTATCAACTGTAATTTAAAAAAAATTAAAAATAGAAAATTCCATAAGGCTATAAACAGCTAAAAATTAGTCAAAATTATTTGAAAAATGTTCCCATGTATAGAAAATTATTATAAATATAAAGTGAAAGTTTTAAGTACGTACGGTTATTAGTTTTTGAGTTACACCAAACAAATTATAACGATTTTGTCAAAAACTGGGTTTTGAGTTAAGTTACTTTCATAAAAAAACTAACTAAGTTAGAATATAAGTTAGTTTCTGAAATTGTCCGAAATTTTAACTTAGTTAGTTAGAAGTTAGTTTGGTGAAAATAGTAACTTAAGTTAGAGTAGAAGTTAGAAATTAGTTTTTTTTTATAAATTAAAAAACCTTTATGTTGAAATGTAGATAATAAGTTATCTAACTTAAATTATTGATTAAAACTGAAAAATTAAATTAAACTCCTAGACATTTGATCAAAATGTTCTAATTAGGTAAGTAATAATTTCAATTAGGTAATTGGAAATTAATTGGTATATCACTTATCAGTTATAAGAACATAAAGGGTGAAACAAAATAAAAAAAATATATAATAGTATGACAACTTAACATATTAATATTAAATAATAATACATAATACTATAATCTATATGATATTGTAATATTATATAATATACTTAGTCATTACATTTTAAATATAGGTAATACTGAAATAGTTAAATAAAAATATAGATAAATGGGTAAACGTAAACAACTAATAACACTACCACGAAAATTCGGCATCGTGTCTACACTAATTTTATTGGTTAAGCCGTATAGATAATATTTATATCTAGTAGATATAACACTACAAACTACGAGAAAAAGCCGTGGTTCCTTTGAGTGCATTATTATAAATACTAGTAATTAATAATATATAATATTAGCCAATAACCTTACATGGCATAGGCATATATAAGCATATAGCCATAATGTCATGATTGAGAAACAGTTTTTGGAATGAAAAAAAAAAAATAATAACTAGTTAGTTTTTTTTTCTACCGAGTTAGATTAGACTATTTTACACATTAAATTAAACTAGTTAAGTTAGAAAGTCACTTAAAAAGTAACTTTCTAACTAGTTAGTGCCCAGCTTTGTTTAATAGTATAAATATCTAAGTTTTAGTGAAGTTATTGTTTAAATAGAAGGTACTTAAACTTAAAGTTGATAAATAAATAATTGAAAAATTAATTAAAGAAGGAAAAAATGAGGTGAACATAGTTGGTCAATTACCCTGAATAAGTATTTCAAAAATTAAATAAAATAATAATATGTTTACAAAATAATAAACTGAGTAATCATAGGACATAAGTATAGTAATAATAATCTTAAAAATAGAAATTTATCCCATTACTAAAAAGTAATATAAATAATATAATACATTCATGTTTTGTATTGTGGCTTAATAAGTATTGATTGTTAGTGGACTATTTTATTAAGGTATGCTTTAATAGTTCAAATGATATTTCTATGATGTAAGTCAAATCTGTCGTAGACGTTAACCAAATTTGGAAAATTTGAAAATATCATAATGATCAATATTTGTCCACCATTTAGTAGAATTACATTATTATTTTAAATGGACGGTTTTGTGATCCTTATAATTATATATTTTGTTCCAATTGAACATTACTGCGTGGACATTTTTTAAAGTGAGACAGTAAAATATATTATCATGACATCGTCCGACATACGATATCAGCTACACGAATCACCGTTAAGAGGTCTAATCACGCCATCACGCCACTCCACATTAACCGAAAGTCGAAACTGTATAAAAGGACGTACTGATGCTTGGTTCAGGTATAACGCAATTTTTGTGCCAATACAATCTTCAGTGAGTATTTTACCCGACGGGACTTAATATTTCTTTGACTTGATTAAATACTTATTCATATTTTATATTTTATATTCATATTTTTTTTTGTGTACTTGTAGTTTTCACTTTACTCCTTGAAAAACAAACCAAAAACCAAAAATGGGCGCTGAAAAAGTAACCATGAACATCGTCGTCGTCGGACAAGTCCAATCTTCCAAGGCCATCAAATTGGTTGCCAAATCCACCCCAGCCACCAGCCTATTGATGGTGAGTTAACAGTTCTGTGATTGTTTAATTTTGAATAATAAGTATAGTGGGATACTATTTTTTTTCCGATTCGTGTTGTTATTAATTTGTTTGAATTTTCTTTTCTTCTTGTGTCCCTACGAAGACGTGTAAATTTATTTCATTTTTGACATGATGGAGAAATTAAATAATTAGTAAAATTGATTTTTATTTTGCCTGCATCGTACAAATAAATACAATTCATTGTTTTTATTATACATTATTATCAATAGGTATTTTATTGTTACTTTATTCGTCATATTTAATTAGGATCGGTGTTATATAAATAACCTATACATAGAATAATTTGCAATAATAATATTATATACAATTTAAACTATGCTACTTATATCTAATTACAAGTTAATAATATATAGTACTAAGTTTTGGCTTAAATTGTTAAATTTGTTTGAAAATAAGAAATAATACACTAAAACGCCTTTCTTAAATCAGATTATTATTTTCATAATATTTTAAGTAATTTTAAAGATTTTTAATGATAATTTTTATATCATTTTATTTATAATAAATTCAAATCAAATTATTAAATATTTATTCTTTATTCTATTTATATTTAAAATCTGTTTATTGTTTAATTATTTATATTAAATTATTTTAGATTTCCACTATAACAAATTTTCATTTATTTTTATTTTTCGGTACAAAATGAAGTAGGTACCTAGTATACAGTTTAAATGATACTTAAATATAGCATCAAAACTTCATACCTAATAGTATTAATTAAAAAATACATAATTATTTTTTTCTATTTGTGCAGTTAAATTAATTAAATTAAAATGATATGCCAAGGAAAACTATTTCTAAAAATTTAAAAGTATTTTAAATGTATTTTAAATACATTCTGAATCTATGTATTTTTATATGTATTTAAATATAATTTAAAAAATACTTTTTTCAACACTGTAAACTGTAAAGTATAACAGATTTTGTAATCTAGTTAGCACTTATTACTTAATTCTACCAAGTAGAAAATTATACTTTAGTAGTATAGTACATTGTATTAATCGACTATGTTTTGTTTTGTTCCAGAACTGTTAATTTAAGTCCGCATCAATCTCAACCTCAAAAATGCCATAGCCCAAACAGTACAACATTTTATAATTTATTTTTAATTATAATAATGTGTATTGATATTGCAAAATAAATCAGTCTCGTCCGTCAATCAACTTGTTTATTATTTATCCGTTCCATTCTAAGTTCTGGTCATCGATTATGTGTGTCTGTTGCTATTTTAATGAAATCTCAAAGATATAATAGTGCGCAGAAATTTAAAATTTGTATACTAAGTGTAAATTTGGTACTTGCGTATTTAACTACAATTATAACACCTACCCAAGTTAAATTTAAGCATTTTCAACGCAAAAAAGGCTGTCATATGGCATTTTTTTAAATTGTTTTTAGGACATTGGATATAATATTCAATAGTAATGGAGAAATAAAAATGTACTTCTTAAATATTTAGCTCTGCAGCATGTTCTATCTATAAAAAAAACTATAGTACTCTATTCGTTATTTTTCCTCTACAAGGAAAAACTATGAATCGTAATCATGATTTTGTTAATAAGTAACCATGGAAACAAAAACCTTAGGAAAAATCGTGTATCCAGCCCAACAACAATTGTTGATAACATGTTATTGCTACAGAGAATAATAAATACTTAAACAAAAGGTAGTAAGAGGTACCTACCGGCTACATTATTTAATATAGTAAAATAGTTGAAATTATATTTTAAGCTAAGTGTGTATTATAGTATACGTATAATATTATACTATTTTTATGGTGTAGAGATTCTTATGTTAATATTTGAACTTTCATATTTTTACATTGATTGAATATTTCTGAACAAATGCATATTATATATTTATTAAAATTAGTAAAATTTAGTTTCAATTAATGTTGTGATTTTTTTTTAACAGTTAAGGTTTAATGCTTTTACCTGTACTAAGCTTATAAATTCATTAACTATCGTCAAATGTACCTACTTAAAATAAATAATATAGCCAAGGCACAGATTTATTTCAACGATTTAGTTACCTAATATATATCGTAGGTAATATCCTATAGCTTATTATAGTAATTATTAGATGTAAAAAAGTAAACACAAGAACATCTCAATTATTAGATTTTGAACCCAAATATTATTCTCAAAACTCTCTAATACTTTTTTTTTTTAATTTTAATCCTGGTGTCTATGGCCATAAGGTGTTTTTGGTTTTGTAGGTTTTTATGTCGGTAGGGGGAGGAACACGTGTATGTTGTGTTTTGCAGAATTTTTGATTGGGCACCCGTAGGTATTTGCCATGCCAGGGTGGGGGATGGCGGCATTTGTTCTCAGGACACCGTGACTTGGTCGAAGAAAAATTCCACCCGTGACTGAGGTATCGAGCCAGCGTCGGCTGTGTTGCAGCCGACTGCTTAGACCTCTCGGACACTCCGTCCTCCTCTTTCTGATAAAAAGACAAATATAATAATACATTTAATAATATAACATATTAATCATACAATATTGGTGTATAATATAATATTATACTATTATTAATTATTAGAATATTCCTCTTTTATACATGCATATAAATATATATAATGTTATTTCATCAAATTATTTTGCTAATGAAATATTTTATTTTTTATTATTATTATTAACCAATTATCAAACACGCTTTCAAAATAGTATAGTGGTATACTCATTGTCAATGAATATGATATATGAATATGGTATCAAGTTTGAATAACTCTACCTTATTTTTTTGTTTGAATTACCTGTTTTAATTGTCGCTTTATAGTTGTTAATATAACAACAACTAAGTGTTGTAAACGAGATAATAACAGGGCCTCCACATGAATTTTTACTGAGCGTTGCCCAGACATTTTTCTGATAAAAAGACAAATATAATATAATATTATAGTATTATTAATTTTTATAATATTCCTCTTTTATATATGCATATAAATATATATAATGTTATTTCATCAAATTATTTTGCTAATGAAATATTTTATTTTTTATTATTATTATTAATCAATTATTAAACACGTTTTAAAAATAGTATAGTAGTATACCCATTGTCAATGAATATGATTAAATATTATAAAAACTATTTAAAACTTTATTATATAAGTAAAAATATTATACAATATTGCAGGTTTTTTTTTGTAATTTAAATTCTTTTATTAAAATACAGTTGTAATTATACAATTTTTTCGTTTAGTGTTCGTCCTTATTCTTTTCACACTAATTATAATATTATAATATTTATTTGAAAAAACGAACTTAGATTAATCGTGTTATTAAAAACAGTTAGTTATGTTAAATTACTAGAACATTATATTGTGTAGCTTGGTACACATCATAATATTATGTTGAACGAATCTTTTAATAAGTTCCAACCTAAATAGTAAATATATTATATCGTATATGTTAAAAATATTCCATGTTTCAAAGTATAATAATACATTTAACCTCAAAATAAAACACAAGCCCAAAAAATATATATCAATCGAAAACAATGCTCAGAAAAAATAAAATAATTATTACAATAATTTTAATGCTTTATAGGTTAAATATTACGTTTTATTCCTCTTGACTATTTCAGTTTTATTCAACACTTAGGTACTTATAATATCCAACAGGCAACAAACAGTTGATCGCAACACTGCATGTGCATTATAATGTTTTAATTAATTGCAGAATTAAGAACTCATTGATAATGGTTTGTTATTATTATACTTAATATATATTGTTATTAATAACAACACTCAACAAGTGTTCATCAAGGTCAATGACCGAATACTTCGATAAAGTAAATTGTCTGATTACTCCGACTACCTACTGCCAACAAATAATAGTTGAAGTGCTTAATATTATAATGTCAACATTTTGTCATACTTAAGTCAAATATTGAATGACTAAAAATGTATGTCATCAACCTATAAATCCTTTTTAAATGATAAATGACAATCATAGTAATAAAATAATCTACCTTTAATAGTATTTTATTAAAATATTGGGCGATATTATTATCATGAATGTTATAACTGGTACTTGTTACACATCTATTCATAATCATATTAACTTGAACCAAGCTTATATGTATAATATAAATATTTAAAATACATCATATTATTCATGATAGAACGTCGTGAATGAAAACCCATGGATCTGTAATTTGGACAGTGAAACAGGTACAATTTAAAAAAATTACACAGTTATATATTCATTGAAAATGACTGATTTATTTTTCGGTGTCAATACTCATATGAATTGCATATTATTGTACTGTTTGGGCTATGACATTTTTGAGATTTGTGATTTATGGACACATACATTAACAGTTCATGTTATTCTGGGAGTTTACCAATTGCGCTTAAAATAACCTTTTCATATACCAATTGAGCTCAAAACATTTTACACTACATAAGGAAAAGTTTTTTGTTAGGTATAAATTATAATATAATATGTAATAAAAGATTAGACTAACCGATTTTTTGAGAGTATTGAATCATAATACATATTTACATAATATATAATGTAAATAAATAAACAAATTGTTCTTCACATTTTTCTAGTTACTTTTTGATCATCAATTATATAAAATGTATGATAATGCAGTTATCATGATAACTTGTTTTCGTCTCAAATGCATACCTCCTTGATCAAATGTTGTCGTAATAATGGTAACGTTACATAAAAGGCCCGATACCGTTATAAAATAATATAACAAGTAATCAATTTATCAATAAATACGTTTTTAATTTTCAGGCATTTTAGTGTGTTTATGTTGATGTTGATGTAATTAGATCGTTCAAAAATATTTCTAAATCTGTAGGTAGCCGGTTTACAAGCCGTTTTGAAGTAACCAGTTTACAATTGATATTTTGTTTTGGGCAATTGGTCCATGGCCGTTATTCTTTTCATTTGAATTTAATAAGTATTAATAAAAGGAAAATAATAATAATAACCTTGAAAACATTTTCAGACATTAAATTGAAACTAAAAACTTAATCTTCGTGATTATATTTCTAAACATATGAATTGAAAATTAAAATTTACAAGATAATTTACCAAACTGCATTTTAAAGTTATATAAAGAGTTCTGTACTCACCATCAGTTGGCTAGTTGCTGGTGTGGTCTTGGCGACGGTCTTGATGGCCTTGACAGAGTGAACTTGTCCAACGACAACGATGTTCATGGATACCTTTTCAGCGCCCATTTTTTATTTGTTTGTTGTTTTTTGAGGAGTAAAGTGAAAACTGCAAGTAGAAAAAAAGTTTCAATTTATGTTTGAAATTTGTAGAAAATATAATTATTGTCTTTCGTACTTGAATATATCTGCACAAAAAAATATGATATGCCGGAATCTAGATCTCGGGAATCTTTATATATACTCCCGTTGACTGATTGAGTATAATGGGAGGAGGGTGATAGCGTGATCGATAATATTGTAATAGGTATTGCGATAACTGTTTATTTAAAAATAATGATACACTTAATCAAAATTCACAGAATTTGTAAAATTAACATTTTAGATACTGAGTGAAACAATAAATGTATTGATTTTACAATGATGTGTGTTTTTTTTTAATTTTTTAATTTTTTAAATTTTTTTTTTCGTCTGTCATCACGTTTTAGGACAGTAAAAGTGCTTGGATTTTCTTCAACAGTAGTTTTTCTGATAGGAAAATGAATCTAGTTGGTACTTTGGGGAGTCAAAAGTAAAAAGGTGGGCAAGTGGGTGTCGCTCTGCTGTACAGTAGGTTACAAGTGGGTCACTGTATAGTGGATGGTATTAAATTTGAATTCAATGATATAATATATGCATTAACAGTTCTGAAACAAATAAACAAAATAAATATTAAATATAAAATTTGATTATAAATTTAATTTGGATTCAATCATTTTAAACTAATATTATTATGATTTAAATTGCAATAGAAAAAAAACATGACTTGAAAAAAAATAACAAGTCAATTAAAATTAATATCAAATATTAGGTATAAATAATTTATCATTAATTGTATATTTTTTTAACAGATAAAGTTCCAAAAATACTCATATAAAATTGATTCATTTTACCATCAAATATAAAAACTTAAAACATATATAACCAAGAGTTGTATTATATCTAAAGTTAAATTCAATGGTAAAATACAACATTTTATTCTGAAAATTTTTATTGAAAGTTCATGTTATTCTGGGAGTTTACCAATTGCGCTTAGAATAACCTTTTCATATACCAATTTATTGCGCTCTAAACATTTTACACTACCTAAGGAAAAGTTATTTGTTAGTTATAAATTATAATATAATATGTAATAAAAGATTAGACTAACCGATTTTTTGAGAGTATTAAATCATAATACATATTTACATAATATATAATATAAATAAATAAACAAATTGTTCTTCACATTTTTCTAGTTACTTTTTGATCGTCAATTATATAAAATGTATGATAATGCAGTTATCATGATAACTTGTTTTCGCCTCAAATGCATACCTCCTTGATCAAATGTTGTCGTAATAATGGTAACGTTTCATAAAAATGTCCGATACCGTTATATAATAATATAACAAGTAATCAATTAATCAATAAATACGTTTTTAATTTTCAGGCATTTTAGTGTGTTTATGTTGATGTTGATGTAATTAGATCGTTCAAAAATATTTCTAAATCTGAAGGTAGCCGGTTTACAAGCCGTTTTGAAGTAACCAGTTTACAATTGATTTTTGAATTTTATGAAATAATTATGTCTGAAAAAGCCCGGAGTTATCGTCATTACCTAGAAAATATTTCTAAATTCATCATTATCTGAAAATAATGGACATTAACGTTATTTCTTAGTCAATATCGTATAGGTACTGTCTAATTTGATCAATAATATTGGCTAAACATTAACGTTAATTCCTTAATTTATGTCTTTGCCGGTAACACAATAATATACTATTAGTAGGAACGTCAAATAATATGTCTATACTACAGTTAGGTCATAGAACATGTCTTTCGTATCAACATCGTTGGATATATTATGTAGGTAACCATTATATTTTACATACATTCATTTATTTTTTGTATCTTACATTAGAAAATAACAAAAATACTAAAACTATCTGTTTGTTTCTAAATAGATTGTTTTTATTGAACAAAACCAAAATAAAAAAACTAGAAACTTTTATTATATAATAAGTGGACTGTATATTTCGTTTTGCGTGTGTCGTACCACTTGACTGGTCCGACGGCAACTAAATAATACGTGAGGACATAGTACGGCACAAGCCCACAATGATAATCTTACAGATAACGATTTCATATAAACATTACATCGATATTATATATAAGTATATTATGGTGTTCGCGCCGTAACATGGGCCCACCTTGAAACACGGTTTCAAAATATAATACATATTATAAAAAAGAATAATTAAACAATATAAATGACTTATTAAATATAAATTATTACAAACAGGTTTCATATGATTTTACAATAACTAATAAAAAATAATAATAATAAATGTAATCGAATAATTAGGTGGTAGAACTAATGTTCACTAAATAGGTGAACAAAGATCAAAAAATAATACACAATATTATTGACTATCGCTACAATGAAGATAACAATGGTCGGTCATTAAATAATAAATATATATATATGCTTATGCATCAATATGTATACTTAATAGTTGATATTAGCTGACCTATATAATATTTATAAATAGTGTGCTACAGTTGTACATGTTTAATGAGGTAAATATGTATAGTAAAAAATTATATAAACAGAATTAATTAACACGTAACCCGTGTGATTCATGTGTCTATGGGTAATGGACATAATAATCGAACAGCTCGCTTTTTTGATCCCAAATTCGTATGCACCGTAGCTACCCTTATGACACCATCAGGTCCTGGGTGAACATTTGTGACTCTGCCTAATAACCACTTTAAAGGAGGTAAGTTATTCTCCTTTATTAACACCATCGTCCCAGGTTGAATGGATGGTCCTCTGCATTTGGACCACTTGTTTCGTCCTTGTAGTTGCCCCAAATACTCCTTGCTCCATCGTGTCCAAACGTGTTGGACAAGTTGCTGCACTCTTTGCCATCGAGACAATCTATTAATAGATATATCTCTCACGTCAGGCTCAGGCAGTGCGCGTAGTGAGCTACCTATTAGAAAGTGGGCGGGAGTAAGGACATTCAAATCCGTAGGGTCTTCGGATATAGGGATTAAAGGACGGGAGTTTAAGCAACATTCTATCTGTGTTAGTACCGTATATAGTTCGTCATAAGTTAACCGTGAATTTGCAATCGTTCGATTCAAGTGTTTTTTTACGGCCTTGACTGCAGCCTCCCACAAACCACCAAAATGGGGGGACCGAGGCGGTATGAACTTCCACGTAATTTCGTGTAGTGTTAACGTGTCTTGAACGCGAATTTTGTGCTGTTCGGAAAGAAGAAGTGTGGACAAATCACTTAACTTTTTGTTAGCACCCACGAAATTAGTACCATTATCGGAATATATGGTATGGCATTTACCTCTTCTTGATATAAACCGGTGCAAGGCAGCTATAAAGGCATCCGTGCTGAGATCACATACTAGCTCTATGTGTACAGCCTTACTTGCAAAACATAAAAAAATGCATATATATGCCTTCTGTAGCTGTGCGTTTCTACGTGCGTGCGACTTCATTAATATTGGTCCCGCATAATCAACACCCGTAGTTTCGAAACATCTTAGTGGTCGGTTCACTCTTGGTTTTGGTAGAACACCCATAATTGGTTCTACAATATTAGGTTTATTTTTAAAACAAATTACACATTGGTGGGCGACTTTTCGAGCTGTTCGACGCCCATTTATCGGCCAATATTTTAAGCGCACGTTCGCTAACATTGCTTGGGGCCCGGCATGTAAGGACATTTCATGTTCGTTTCTAAAAATTAGGGTATCAAAATGGCACGCGTATGGAATCAGAATAGGATACCGCTGGTCATGAGCTAGGTCCGTCGCATTACCAAGGCGACCACCAACACGTAATATATTTTCTTTATCGAAGAATGGGCTTAATGGCTGCAATTTTTTATTACTTAATGGCTCACCAAAAAACTGATTTTGTAAGAGTTTAATAAATATTTTTACTGATTTTTGAATCTCGTCATTGCTGAGTGGACCCGAGTATCTTTCTTTTGCTCTTAATTTACTTGAAATATTATGCACATACCTCAATGTATAGGCAAACACACGCTGAAACCGATTTAATTTTGAATATTTTTCACACAGTTGTATAAAATAATTTGCCTTTACTTCAGCGACCATTACTACTGTGTTCGACTGCTTTCGCTCTTCACATAGTGTCTCCTCATCTTCGTGTACTTGACAGAGTTCTTCACATCTCGCGTGCTCGTTCGTCAACCATGCGGGTCCGTTCCACCACAATGTACATTTTTGTATATCTTGAACATCACATCCCCTGGATAAAATGTCAGCCGGGTTCTCCTTCGTATTAATATACGACCATGAATACTGTGATGTTAAATTATGAACCTTACTCACACGATTTGCAACGAACGGTTTCCAACGCATTGCATCCGATGCGATCCACGCTAGTACCACCTTAGAATCACTCCAGTAATAAATATTCGTAACATTAATTCGTAACGCTGGAACTATTTTTTTTATTAATTTTGATAATAGTAAGGCAGCGCATAACTCTAATCGCGGTATTGTTATTATACTTATCGGCGCAATTCTTGATTTTGCGCATATTAGTTGTGAGTGGCGACTACCGTCCGCGCGCGTGCATACTACATATAAACAAGCCCCGTACGCTTTGCACGATGCATCGGCAAATCCGTGTATATATATTTTTTCTGTGTCGTCACACTGCAACCAGCGCGGGACACTTAGATTATTGCATTGATTTAAATCCTTTAAATATTTTTTCCATTTTATTTGAATTTCTGTTGATAATTCATCATCCCAATTTATTTTTAATTTCCATAATTGTTGCATTAATATTTTAGCTATCACGATAACCGGTCCGAGCAATCCGAGCGGGTCAAATAGACGTGCTATATTAGATAAAATACTTCGTTTGGTTATCTTATGTTCAGGTATTGGTAAAGACACTTTATAAATGAAACTATCCGAGTTTGAATCCCAATACAAACCTAATGTTTTTATTGCTTCAGTTTCCATATTTAACGAGTATAGTGAGTTTTCATTAGGAATTGGTATATATTTTAATAAATCGGCATGATTAGCTGTCCACTTGCTTAATTCAAATCCATTGTTACTTAAACATTTAATTAATTCATTACGCAAATTTAAAGCCTCCGATAATGTTGAGGCGCCCGTTAAACAATCGTCAACACAAAAATCATGCTTTATTATCTGAGCTATCTCCGGACGTATTTTATTTATATCCGCCGATTTATGAAGACACGCAACCGATAAGAAACTTGCAGGTACCGTTCCGTAGGTTACTGTACACAATCTATATTTCTTAATAGGCTCATTAGGATCACCGCGCCACAATATGCGCTGATAATCTCTATCTGCATTATCAACCCATACCTGCCTATACATTTTTTTAATATCAGCTGAAAATGCATATTTATGTGTACGAAATCTCGTAACAATTAATGTGAGGTCATCTTGTAATATAGGACCTTTTAACAATACATCGTTTAGCGATAATCCAGATTCTGATTTGCATGAGCCGTCAAATACCACTCGTAATTTTGTTGATCGGCTACTATCATTAAGAACGTAAGAGTGTGGCATGTAATACGTTTTCACTGATAGGTCATTGTCCTCATTAACTTTCTCCATATGTCCCAAATGCTCATATTCTTCCATGAACCCTTTATATTGACTATATCGCTCGGGATTTTTCCCGAGACGACGCTCTAACGATAAAAACCTTTTTAACGCTATGTTATATGACTCGCCTAACATGTCTACGTTATCTCGAAACGGCAATTTTACTACAAATTTTCCCGTGGAATCTACTGATATGTGATCTTCAAAATGTTTTCTACAAATACTATCTTCCGACGTTTCGTCCATATTTGCATTGGAAAATTCTTCGATTTTCCAAAATTCTTCAATATCCTTTTCCAAATTTGAATAATTATCTTCACTTATTACAAAGCAAGCCATTGAATTATTTTTTGATGAAATTTCATTCACTGGTCCTACAATAATCCAGCCGAACATTGTTTGCTGCAAGTACGGACCCATTGTGTGCAGTTTGAAATTTCCCGAGCACATTATTTCCCAATAGGTGTCGGCACCAATCAATAAATCAATTTTTTCCGGCTTAAAACACCTAGAATCTGCCAACATAATATCCGCGGGTATAGACCATTTGTTAGTATCGATATTGTTGGTCGGCAGTTTTCCGGTAATTTTTGGCAATACCAGCATGTCTAAGGTGGCAGAATAATTATTTATACGTGACTTAATAGACGCGGTTACCTGATACGCGGCACGACTCACTACCTCATTTATACCTGTTATTGATTTATTTATTTTTGTTCTCGCAAGCCCTAATCGCTGTGCCATTGCTTCGGTCAAAATATTTATCTGTGAGCCGTTATCTAGTAATGCCCTGCATACAACTAGTTCGCCGCATGCATTTAATATATGTACCTCTGCAGTCGCTAATAGTACTTGTGCGCGCGTTTGACCACGGGCGGCGTGACTCACCACCACTTCCGAATTAGACACATTTGACGTAGACGGATTTTGTACAACTTGTGGTACATCACCATGCAGCAACGTATTATGCGCTTTATCACATTTGGAGCATACCCTTTTCGACCTGCACACCTGTACATCCGTGTGTCCCGTACCCAGGCAATTGCGACATAGGTTTAGTTCATCAACCTTTAGTGCTCTTTCATTCGCATTGAGTGCGATAAATTTTTGACACTTGTAAATAGGATGTGACTGTTTACATAAATAACATGCTAAACGATTGGTAGCAACAAATGCATTTACTTTTTTATTATTTTTAAATTGGACGTTTTTATCATTTGGATTGCGATAATTTTGCTTAGACTGCGTATAATGCGACGTATTTAATTTATTCGATAAATTTTTTGAGGTATCAATCGCCTCTAATATTTTACACCGTTCATTTAAAAATGTTGTCAACTCCGATATAGAGGGTAATATATCTTTGGTCGCCACAGATTCCCAATTTCGTATTGTATTATAATCTAATTTGACTAGAATCACATGCAATAATAGCGCACCCCAGGCATCTGGATCATGACCTAACGCCTTTAAAGCTTGCATATTCATGTTTAAATCAGCAGTAAACTTCCTTAAACACACACTCGACTCCTTTTGCATAGGTTCTAATTCATATATATTTCTCGTATAAGATTGTATGAGAATACGCTTATTGTCATATCGTTCTACGACAGTGTTCCATGCAATCGAGTAATTGTCACCTGTGGTCGCTAAATTTAATATCAGAGCCAATGCGTCCCCACACAAATACATTCTTAAATATAAAAATTTTTGTACACCTGCTATTGTTGGATTTAAATGTACCATGGTCAAAAATAAATCTTTAAATGTGGACCACTCTTCAAATTTTCCCGAAAACGACGGTAATTCTAACGGCTTCATTTTTATCGCCGGGTCACCTCCTTGCGCAAGATTGCCCGGTATACTCAACCTGTTTATGCCACTAACTACATTTGAACCTTGTACCATAGTCTCTGCTTTTGCAACTATATCAAAATATAAATTTACAAACGTATCTCTGTAGTCCAATTGCTCATTACTGGTATCTAATGCCTCGATATTATTCTGAACTACATCAAACTCAGTCCAAAGTTCTTTTATTTTATCTAGACGTATCTTTATCTGCATGATATTGTTATCCACATCTACATTATTGATATATGTTTGGAATTTTGTCAGCTGCGCCTTTAATTGACCTCGCCTCAATACATAGACGGCCAATTCATTTGACTGACTACCCTGCATTATTACGTTTTTGGTTTTTCCCTTACTTTATATTTTCAACCTTATGAAAACTTTATTTGTATATATACGTTTTTAATTTTTTTTTTTTTATAGAATGTGCCTAAAGGAAAATGAATGGAAACTTGTGCCCTTATTTTCTAATATTTTTAGCTCACTCACCTGGTTGTATGTCGACCGATGAATGTTCAGCCACTGCACACTAGAGCATTGAAAAACAGGACCACTTTGACAATTTTTTCTTCTTTTTTGATTGTTCGATTTGACTATAATAATGCCACTGCACGGTTACTGTGTCCGCGGGGACGTTATATTTATTTATATGTATTCAAAACGAACTAAAGAACAACATACACTTCAAAGTTTGAACTAGACAATATGTCCACTGAACGACAACGAATTCGCGGGACGTATTTACGCAAAATGTATTGCTAGTCAATCCGGTTCGATTGGACCAAAATGTTTGTTTCTAAATAGATTGTTTTTATTGAACAAAACCAAAATAAAAAAACTAGAAACTTTTATTATATAATAAGTGGACTGTATATTTCGTTTTGCGTGTGTCGTACCACTTGACTGGTCCGACGGCAACTAAATAATACGTGAGGACATAGTACGGCACAAGCCCACAATGATAATCTTACAGATAACGATTTCATATAAACATTACATCGATATTATATATAAGTATATTATGGTGTTCGCGCCGTAACACTATCTGATATTACCAAAAACCAATTTGTCATTATTTAGTGGTTTTCAAATGTCGATTGGAAAGAATATCTGTCTTTCGTGGTCTCAATGTTTAGACAATATTTAACAGCCACTTGTATTAAAAACGGTAACAACTATTATAAAAGTGGTAATAAAATGTGATCTATAAATTATTATCAAAAATAATTGGATTAAAATCATAGACATAATATTTTAATATAATTTATTATTATTATTATTGTTTACTTATTCTATTTTAATATAATATATCTATGATTAAAATATTCACGTAAAAATATTTTACCATCTAAAAACCATAATTTTAATAAATTAATTGTTAAAGGATAAAATGCCTGGGATTCACAAAAAATGAACTAAATTTCATAATATATTGTATTCATATTTTTATGAAATTGTCGTGTTGGAGATCATTATTAAGTATTGATATATGTTTAGTTTATCGTTTTTTGGATAGAACTATATTTTAAAATTTAAAGTAGAATTAATAGATATAATAGTTATCTTTATAATGCAATTTATAAATTATTTACTAGAACAGTCAGTAGGAATAATATTGTTAATTATTATTATATATTTATCAAGAATTTGGTATAATATTGTTATATCATATTTTAGAGATGGATTTAAGCTATCGTTTTCGTAATGTAATATTACATTAGAGGACGTATTTTTATAATTGTATACGCAGTGATCGATCGGAACATTATTATTATTGTTTTCGGATTCAAAAAGTAACGATATCATCATATTATTATAGTTATTGCGATCTCGAAATCGTCTGACGTACGATAACGCGAGGGACACTAAGCGCTCTATCGGCCAACAGGGAACAACCAACGACGGACACTTGTTACAATTACGCCACCACGCCGCTCCACATTGAGCGAAAATTGACAATGTGCATAAAATAACGTGCCAGGTGCTTCGTTCGGGCATAACGCAATTTTTGTGCAAATCCAAACTTCTGTGAGTATTTAACTGACGGGATACAATATTTTTTTGAGTCGATCTAAATTATTAATTTATTATATTTACATTTTTTTGTCTACTTGCAGTTTTCACTTCTTTACTTCTCGAAAAACCGACAAAAAAACAAAAAATGGGCGCTGAAAAAGTAACCATGAACATCGTCGTCGTCGGACAAGTCCAATCTGCCAAGGCCGTCAAATCTGTCACCAAAGCCACCCCAGCCACCAGCCAATTGATGCCAATCAATAACATTATAATATAAAATGAATTAATCTATCCCAATCATTCAGTTGAACAATACGCCAATTGATCTTGAGTATCATAATAATTGTTCAATGGTTTGCATTTCAATCGAATGTAGGATGGTATTTATTTCTAATTCATATTGTTGTTTTGTTTCGATTTTATATTCTTGTTATGTATAAACTAATATACTATATTTATTGGATTTTTACAAGGTGGATGAATGAAATAATTAGTACAATAATATTGTGGATAATAATTTTATTGGTTCACGAGCATCACACAATATATACGTAGTATACAAATATACAATATTTTAATGTTTTTATCTTAAATAATAAGTAGGTATATATCTTTTTTCATAATGTTTTTTTTACATTATTTGTTAAATTACATGTGAGTCTATTTGATATTGCAAATAACTTATATCATAACATTTGTAATCATAACTCATACATTTTTTCTCTGTTGGAATTCGAAATTGTCCAGAATACATTAAAATACATTTTAGACTGACTAAATTGTCTAAAGAATTACAATTTTTTAATCTAGCTATATAATTTATTTTTTTTCATACTACTCTCTAAAATAGTACCTACTAACTTGTATCTAAAAAATATCTTATTTATTTTTTAAGCTAATAAAAATTTTATTTAAAAGTAAAAATCCTATTATTATGGTTTCTTATTTTATTTTACCAATTTTATTTATTTTTATACTAAAGTGTTTCGTATTAATCGAATATTTTTTGTATTTTGTTCCCGAATTTTTAATTCATGATGTCCAGATCAATCTCAACCCGAAAAATGCCATAGCCCAAACAGTACATAATATTATAATTTGTTTTTAATTATAAAAATATGTATTGACATTGCAAAATAAATCAGTCTCTTCCGTCAATCTACTTGTTTATATTATTTAATTATGCCTTTCTAGGTTCACAACATAGTTTATATCTTATGTTTATGTCGCTGGAAGTGTGAAGTATTTCTTATATTATTTATTGTGACATAATTGGTATGTACATATTTCAACAATTTAACTACAATCATACCAGCCACCTTAAAGTGCAAATATTTTTATATTTCCCCTATACTGTTGCAAAAATGTTTTCGTCCAAAATATTGACGTTAGTGTTAGTACATGACATTCATCCAGTATAAAAAGTCGTCAATATTTATAATAATACAAGTAATATTTGATAATAATATATTATTCAAAATAATCATTGTTTATATTTATTTTTAAGTTATGACTAGGCTCATGAGTTTTGACTAATACCTGATAATAATTAATATTATTCATAGTTTAATCATTAGATTCGTTTTTTTTTTGCATTAAAGTTATTTTAATGCAAAAAAAAAAAAAATTGTAAATACAAACACTTGAATAATAATATAAACTAATAAAACAGTAATAAACTCTTCATACTACAAGCATATTATATTTATATATTATTTATTGTGACATAATTGGTGTGTACATATTTCAACAATTTTACCAACCAGCTTAAGTTATACATAAACATTGTATATCAAGGTGCAAATACTTTTATATATCCCCTATACTGTTGCAAAAATGTAAATTTTCGTCCAAAATATTTACGTAAGTCGTTAGTGTATGACATACATCCAATATAAAAAGTCGTAAATATTTATAATAGGTAATACAAGTAATATTTTGATAATAGTATATTATTGTTTATATTTATTTTTAAGTTATGACTAGTCTCATTCATGGGCGTTCTCACGGGGGGGGATTTGGGGTATAGATCCCCCCCCCAAGGTTCTTTATTTTTTTACATATTAGTAATACCTACACGTTTTGTCTACTTTTGATATGTGTTTGTGTTTTCAATATTGACTTGGTAGTTATTATTTTATTTTTTTTTTTTGCTATTTTTCTTTATCGTGATTATTGTTTCCACCAGCCATAAACAGTATTATTATTTATCACTGATAATTATAACATATAACAGGCAATTCGCTTTACAATTGTTTTGTACTGTATTTTTGTAAACAATCACTCCGTCAACTTTACCCATTCCCAGCGTCAGAAAAAATGTAAAGGTAAGATACACAACGATAACACCATAGTGATAAAATAAAATAAATAATTTAAACCAGGGATGGAAAACGTTTTTAAAAAACGTTAGTAAACGGAAAAAAAAACGAAAACAATTAATAAAACAAAAACAAAAAACGATAACAAAAAATCCCAAAAATAGAAAAAAAATTAATTACGAAATCAAAAACGAAAACGCAAATAAATTATAGTATTATATATTATTATATTTATAACACGAAAAAAAAAATGTTACTTAAGTATTTACTTTTTAATCTTTACCAACAATGCTCTATTAAAATGTAAAAACATTTTTATTTGAAATCAAGAATAATTAATTTTAATTTTTAACTCTTAAGTCCATTTCTAAATTGCTAAATTTACTACTATAAAAAAAAACAATATTATCAAAAACAATATAGAAAAATAACGTTTTTAAAAACGTTAATCAAAAACGATATTTTTTGAATCAATAAACAAAAACGAAAACGAAACAATTTAAAACATTTTCCATCCCTGATTCCCTGATTTAAACTAATTCATAACATTCTTTTATAGTTTAAATAAAAAAAACAATAAATATGACTTGAATTGATTATTTGATATTATCAACTATATTACTATCAATATTATTAGATTCTGAGCGGAGTGAGGGATCTATTGGTTTTTAAATATTGTTTATATTTATTTTTATTTTATCCTGCATACAAAATTTCTACCAGAAGGAGTTCTTCGCTTTTAACATATAGTATATCTTTTCTTTTAGCAAATTTTATCAAGATGGTACTTTAGAGAGGTAATTTTTCAATTTTCTCAATATTTATTTAATGACACATTACAATTTCACCGACAAATTTCAAAAACCGCTAAAAATATGATTTCAATTTCTAACACTTTGTTTATCACCGTAGAAACAAATAAAATTAAAATAATGATTTTAGTTATTTTATCGTAATTTATAATATTAATTCAACTTACAGGCTATAATAAAATATAATAACAATATAAAATATCCAGACTGACAAACCGTCTCCGCTCAGAATCGTTTTTCGTGTATAATGATATGATATCATATCATTGAATTCAAATTTAATACAATCCATTATACAGTAACCAACTATTGTAATATACTCTACAACAGAGCGACATCCACTTACCCGCTTTTTTAATACTCATTATTATAATATGGGAGTTGTGAGGCAAAACCCTTACGGCTTATTTTGAAACCATTTTTTTCATCCCCCTCCATTGAAATATCCTGAGAACGCCTCTGGTCTCATTAGTTTTAACTAATAACTGATAATAAATAATAATCATAGTTTAATCATAAAATTCATTTTTTTTTTGTTTGTTTTTCTAAATTTTTAATCAAATTAATATAAATTATATTAATAATATAATATAATATTATTAATATAATTTATTTATTGACGCCTACAATAAATTATAAGCCTTATGTCGGCTCTGTACAGTACATACATCATAATATTTATTATTATATTATATTATTATATATAATTTATATAAACAATTAATAATAATACAATATAAAAAAAAATGTTATTATTGTCAATTCATGTTGTAGAGCAAAGATTTTAACCTGCTTGAATCATCATTGAAAAAATCAAAATGACTTTACTTGTAGTTTGTTAACATTCTGTTGATCGAACCAAAATTACTGTAACCAAAATAGGTACCTACCTTATGTTAGGTACCAACTTTGTATGTCTCAAAGAAAAACAACACATTGTTAACCTTAGAATAAAACTCAAGTCCAAATCAACAATCCCAGTAGAAAACAATGTTCCAAAGAATAAAACAATCATTACTATAATAATAACGATTGGCAGGCACCTATAGTTGAAGTCCTTCATAATTACCTTTCAACATGTAGGTTACATATATAATACACTATGTATAATAGACAAACCTAAAATTTTTATATTTATTACTATAAATACTTTGTGCATGACTAAAATATAATAATTCTACAAAAAAATATTTAAATATGATACCGTTTAATATTTTGAATTACTCAATATTGGTGATCGTAACATAATACTAAGTATTATGATAATAATTATTTAAAATAAATTATATGATAATACCTCGTAATTAAAATATTACATAATGTTAATATGGACATTGGAACAGGCAATAATTAAAAAATAAGACCAAATAATTATATGTACATCGGGAATTATTGATTTATTTTGCGGTGTCAATACTGATATTATGAATTACATATTATTGTACTGTTTGGACTATGGCATTTTTGAGTTTTGCAATGTATGGACTACATGAACTAACAGTTTTGAAACAAAACAAAAATAAACAAGTAGATTAAAATGGATATTTTAATAATAAAAATAATGTATCGTTTATCATGAGCTATAGGTACTATTGTTATATAGATATATCATTTATATATATAATTCTACTGTGTGTTGTGATTGTACTCCTCCTAAACGGTTGGACCGATTTGAATGAATTTTTTTGTATGTGTTTGTATTTAGTTTCACAAAACAAATTATTACATTAACTAGAATATTTATTACACAAGCACTACAAATCAAAACATGCAAATACAAAAAGTATTGAACCCTATATTATAATCAATGGTATTAATTAACCTAAGTTTAAAAACCTAAAATATTTAATATTAAAAAACAAAAAATTGAAAATCATCTAATCAAATATTAAATTTTATATAATATGAAATGTAATTTTTTAAAAGTAAACGCACTTATTTCGTCGTTAAGTATTGATTAATGACTACGCTTACGGACAATTTTTTTTTCCTTAGTATGAAAATCAAATTTTGAACTAGTAGTAAATTAGCTCTAACTTTCTAAGTACATATTAATAATCAAAGTTTAGATGAACGAAGTGGTGCACCAACATTTTGTATTTTTGTGTACCACTCCTGTGCCACTTCATCGTGC